CTGGGGAATTCTGGGAGTTGAAGTCCACATGTCTCAAAGTTGCCAAGGTTGAGAAACCCTGCTCCAGAATCAGGTGGTCCAGATATCCAGTCACTTGGTGTTGCTAAGATTGAACTTGAATCTGCTCCTTCCCATCCAGACCCTTACAGCTTCCAGACACTTGGGACAACAAATGAATCAGTATAAAAAGACTAGATAGTGGAATGGAGTGGTGCTAACAGGCTAGTTTTGCTTTCTGGTGAATGAGTCTATTTACTAGAAGACTCATGATGCGTGTCTCAGGTTTTGGACAAAATAAAGAAATTTCAGAGATTCTTATTATAGCTATGACAGTTTTAACTCTGAGGGAAAAACTGAATTGTTGGAAAGGGCACTGGAAAAATAGTGGCTATCTGGTGGTGAGAGAAGCATTGGAAACCCATCACTGCTGCAATGTTTCAATATTGTAAGGGGTTTTCCAGTTCAGGGGAAAGGAATGCATAGCCTCTTTCACATTTGCTGTCCCTTCCTGGCTTCTGCTCTATATTGCAAGGCAGTGATGAAATGGTGCTTTCTTTGAGTTTCCCCCACTTCTGAGTTCTTATTCAGGGATTTTACGAGGTATACCACTGTGCCATGGCTTTTGTTCTGCAGGCCCTGGCTCCTTCAACACTGACATCATTTGCCCTGGCTGATTTCATGCCAGCTGAATGCAGAAGCCATATTCGGAAACTGAAATTGAAGAGCAACCAGTATATGAAATGCTGGCAGCTTTCAACATTTCCCTAAGCCAGGAATCGAACATATAATACAGTGATTCTTGCTATGTTCGGTTTCTTTTGCTTCACTTTGCTTCCACTTGGATTGGATTGTTCTGTGTCACTGTGTGAAAGTCAACAGGACATGCCACATGATGTAGATAGAGCAGCCATTTCTGTGTTGTTTATGTATGCTACCTCACTCCAGTGGCACATACTGTATACTGCATGTGGCAGGAGGATGAAAAGCTTTGCTGTAACAAAAGGGTCAGTGCTGATCTGGGGCTCTTCCTCATGGCCCAGTTATTTTGCTCTCCACCAGCAATGTCAGCAGCATGCTGTCCCCACCGATGATCCCAATTCTGCCACAGGCACAATGCTGGCAAATGATGATGTCCTTATTTATGGTGTAAAGGACACAGGTTGATGGATTGCCCCAACATTATTTCCTTCTCCCCCCAAGTCATCAGCTGGTGGGAGAACATTTCCCAGTCATTCTTCCCTATAGGGATAGTGATGAAGAAGGAGATTAGTTCTGACAAAGAGCTAGATAGCAGGTTTAGCCATCTGTCAAAATTTGCTGGTTTTGTACAAGTGTTTTGCACAGGTGAGTTCAAAGGGAGCCTCACCGTCAGTTGATATCAGCTGATGGTTGAGCTCTTTGGACACAAATTTATGGCTATTAATCCTGCATTCAAAAGAGCACTATACCCATAGTCAAAAGAAGCCTGAACAAAGTTGACAGCAGTGAAGAGATATGTTTCACCATGCAGATTCACTGTGTAGCCCACTGCCGCCATCGCTGCAGATTAGCTGTTATTCAGGTGATCCAGCTCTCCAAGACCTGATGGGTATAGAAGGAAACCCAGTTTAAAGAGTTGGATTCCCCCACTGCCCTTAACAGAATGGCCCGGGAAAATAACTTCCAGGAACTGGAGGGAAGAGGTAATGTCTGCACAAGCATAAGGTGGCCAATAGGGGCTCGGCTAATTTTCCATTGATAAAATAATCTGATTAAATAAATCTGTAGTGCTGCTTTTCTGACCTGGCTTAATATTAATTAGCATTCACAGCTTTGTGTTATGTTGGACAACTGGTGTCACTAACTGAAATACCTTGGGACCTTATTTCTAGTTTGTATTGTAATGATGCCCAGCTATGGTAGACAAACAGTACTGTAATATGATAGTTATGAAGGATTGCAGACGGAAGTGTTTTAAGGTGGCAGTCTTGAATCATAGTCATGTGATTCAGCATGTCCCAGTCCCTGTGTTTCAAATATGCCCACATTCCATGCTTGTCCCTCATCTACTTCTATCATTCCACACAGCAAGTGGCAGAATTACTGTAGGATTATTGTAACTATGTAGTTTCCCATCAGCATAACCATGTCGTGCTATAAAACTCATGAAAGACAAGCAATGACAATCTAGATATGCTTGTTTATTTTTCACATTCCTAAATCAGTATGTAAGCATCCAGTGTAAAATTACAGGGAAATTCTGTTTCGGATGTGAAAATCCTATCATTGTTTCACAGAAAGAGGTTCTGGTTTGAATTCTGGGTAATCCTGTTCTCAAAGAATGATTTTCTCTGCTAAATTTGGAACTAAAAACTTCTCATGACAGTCTGTTTGTATGGTTATTCTCTGTTCCTCACTTCAAGTACTGTATCAGCCTCCTTTAAAGCTTTAAATGAAATACCTTTATGTCTATATGTATGTCTGCATGCATGTGTGAATTTATTTTTTAAATATATTTTATATATTGTAGAGATTTATAATTTATCTGTTAATAAAATCCCTTGGGGAGTTTACAAGATTTAAAATGCAATCAAATTAAAAATCTACTTTGAAAAAAAACACTGTATCTTGTGTCTCCAGCTGCATGCTTTGTTGCTGTAATTTTCTCAAAAACATTTTGAGAAACAATTTTGTCAAAAAAATAATGGAACTAATGTTGGTTAACTCCCTGTTATTTTTAGTGTTGTTATTTTTAAATGAGCTTTAACTGATATCTCTGTAGCCTAAGGACTATAGTGATCACAGAGGAGAGGAAATCCTCCATTTATTTCAGCACCTCCTCTCATTCAACCTAATTGAGTTTAATTGCTCTAACACAGCATTTTTCAACCTTGGCAACTTTAAGATGTGTGGACCTCAACTCCCAGAATTGAAGTCCACACATCTTAAAGTTGCCAAGGTTGAAAAACACTACCCTAACAGCACTATCATGGCATCTATCATTGGTTGGGGTGGTTTAATGAGAAATGAGCACTGCTATAATTCCTACACTGCAGTTACCCTCCAGCCTAGGGAAACACAGTTAGCATATACTGCTTTATCCTATACCTTTAAGCAGGTGATGTCATAGGCTAAAGTACTATACAGAAACTGCCCCAAATTACTCAATACATAAAGCCCTATTTTTTTTTTACCTTTCACTATAGAAGGGGTAGGAAACCTGTGCCCGCTTTTCAGCTTGGTTGCTAAAAACTGATGACACAGTTTCTCACAATCTTCATGTTGGAAACACAGGAACAGTATTGTAAAAGCTGTAAAATAAGCATATCAGAGTAAAAAAATACAAAAAAGGAACTCCAACTCCCCCACTACAAAATTCAGACCTGACCCCAAATGTAACGTGACTCCACTCAGTTTGCATCTTTTAGCATCCCTTGTGTTAATTGCAACTCTTGACCACCAAAGATGGCTTAGCCCTGCACTGTAGCTTACTTTCGCCCATCAGGACCATAACGCAGTAGACAATACTGTCCTATTTTTATGTTGTATTTGTATTGTTTCAAGGGCTTTTTTTAAAACTAAAAGCAGGATAAAATAGAATATATACATAAAATAACAGGTCTGAGATTATAATTCACAATATACATTTTTCTTAAATCATTTTCAGGATCACATTTATACAATGCGAGGCCTTAGAGTGGTGTGCAGTCTCTGAAAGCCTTGGGTACAGCCCCCAGCAGCCTTCCTTCCAAAATTTCTGGCTGAGTTATTTAAAAAAAAAAAAAAAAAGGAAGATAAAGCATTCAGAGCGTGCTTTCTAGAACTCTGTAGTAATAGCTCTGCTCTGGATCATGAGATGAGGAGGAGGGCTTAGAATGGAGGCTTGGCAACTTTCTAAGTCACAGCCTGACTGCCTTTCCCATAGGGATGCACTGGGGATTTTTTTCTGGATTTTCTTCTCTGTAGACTATGGCTTGACCCAGCCCATTCTTAAATCATTATTTCTTTTGCCATCTTCTCTCCCAATACCAAAGTTGGCCTTGTTCTGTTGTATTTTTGGAACATTATTATTCTGATGATGAGCAGAGTCCTGAGACCTTTATGTAATTTTTTTCAACATTCTGTTGGGTTGAAAAGATTAGCAAGGTAGGGAAAGCATGCAGAGCATGATTTCTGGAATTCAGTGGTGAGTCATGTGACCAGCAAGAAGGGGAGGGGCTTAGAATGGTTGAGTCAGCTGACCAGCTGCAGAATTGCCTTACATAAGGGATCACTGGGGAATTTTTCTGTTTTTTTTCTTTTACTTTGCAACCTTCAGCCTGACTTGCCCATTTTCTCTTTGCCAAAAGAAAGCAAATTTGGGCAGTTCAGTTTTCAGAGTTATCTTATTGACAGATTGGTACTGATGTCTGGAGGGGGAGGGGGAAGGAGTTCAAAACGTGTAGGGTGGTCGTCCTGGCATTGTGGTCAAAGCACTGTCCCTTTATACATATATGCAACCTTGATCCATGTACAAAAGGAGTGGGGCTTATATCATGATGCTGCGACCACCATCTTGCCTGTCTTAAATCACCCTCCCCAGGACACTTCTGTAGAGCCTGAGCCTCTTTACATAATTTTGTTCCAAGGTTCCATTCTAATCAACTTCCCTGAAGAATTCTTCAACTTTGAAAGTTTTATAAACTCAATTAACCTAATAAAGATCTTAACCTCTGTGGGACAGAAGGGGGTTCTTTTAATACATGGGGAGTTATATTAATTTATTTTATTTTAATTAAATGTAAATGACAAGATATCCAATTTAGTTTGAGTCTTGGCCCTACCTACTTTTCGGAATGTAGTCCTCAGATCAAAGCAAGGGGGCCTCCATACTGTACATGACTTTGTAAGTAAGAACTTAGAAGAGGATGAAATGGGTCCTCCTTTCCTGACCCCATTTTCCAATATATGAAGTACCTGTCCTACTCTCCCCAACTGCCCACACTGAGTATATGCCTGAAAGAGAAAGACTGTGTCTTAAACAATAACAGCTCATTCTGTGCAGAAGTTCCAACTGTCTCTTTTTGTGGATTTCCAGCCACTTTACCAGCAAATGTGGGATGTTGTAGGATGGCCTCCATCCATTTACCTTATTACACACACCAGCAACCTTATGAATAAGCCAGTAGATCTTTCATAAGTGTAATAAGGATTGGGTTTTATGTTTATCACAGATGTTTACAGTGCTAGTTTTCATCAACCACATTTGTCCTTAAAGTGATTAAAAAGCACGTATAGTGCAACACATAGCCTCTTTCATATTCAAATTCAGGTTAGCTTCTTTAGGGTCTCACAGACATTTGTAGGTTGATGGGAGATTCATGAGTAATCCAGGAGCAGGGAATGAAAGTAGTGGTTGGAGCTCTGGGCTCACAGGTGCATTCTCTTTCTTGTTTTCTGCAAAAAGAACAAGTCATATGGAAAAACCTCTCTGTATACCAGTGATGAACTTTGTGGCCAACATATCAAATTCTCGTCATGCTTATGTTTGCTAAACTCCCCCTTTGTGCCTCTCAGGCTTACCACCCACACATTTAAAAGTGGATTCCCCCTTCGTGTTCCCCATAACCACCCACATCATCAGACCTAAAGTATAACACATTCTGGTAAAGAAGAAACATTTAATTTATTTGTTTGTCAAGCAATGTGTATTTATTGATGAATATTTACATTACTTGATTAGCTCACTTTAGAGATCAGAGGATGATAGACTGGGGTTATGAAAAACCATGGTCTATGTTCTATTTTCAGTAGATATAGGTACCTGATCAAGGCACAAAAACAACTTAGCTGTGGTCAGATGTGTTTTGAACGATATTTGGTATTTACTGTGATTGTTTGTATCTGTTATTAGAATCATTGGTGAGTTGCATGCTTGCCCTTTGTGGGACTGGTGTATTCTGAGATCAACTGGCAGGATAATGTGGTTTGCCACAGCCACACTGTTTTCACACATATACTCAGTAACAGAAATTGTTTATATTTTGCACACTGAATGTTTTATTCCTTTTCACTCCCAGCTGCAGTTCTGCTCACTGAGCTCAGAATATATCAGACAAACCAGAAGTTTTATTCTGATGGGGACTAGTAGAGCAAGCAAAATGAGATGTAAACATGTCATATGGGGACTGAAACTCTGTTCAGTCTAGCCATAAGATACCTTCTCTCCACAGTTTCAGAATGAACTCAGCACAACATCCACAGATGTTTCCATTACTCTAGAGCAGTATTTCTCAACCTTGGCAGCTTGAAGATGTGTGGACTTCAACTCCCAGAATTCCCCAGCCAGCCTTGCTGGGTGTTAGTCTACATGTCTTCAAGCTGCCAAGGTTGAAAAACACTGCTCTAGAGGATCCAAAGCAAGTATGGGTGACTTTTTAAAAAGACTGGTTGATGCACTTAAAAAGAAAAATGAAATGTTTGACTTCCAGGGGCAACAGAAGTGTGTCTGGTGATAAAGTAGTATTGTCAGTGGTCGGGGCTGAACATTTTCTGCCTTTTTCCAGTTGAGGGAGTGAAAAGTTGACAATAGGACAAAAATGGCAATTAAAAAAAAAATCACATAATTTTGCTGCTAAATTTTGCCAGTGCAGTCTAGGTACCAAGTAAGGAGAGTTGGGAGCCGTGTGCCATGTTGTGTTGCCCCCTTGGACCTTCAATATATAGATGCAATTTGTATGTTCAGATAGTGATACAAAGAACAGAGATGTTTGTTATGGTGGGATTTGCAGATTTTGCCTTTGGAGGGTTAGAGTTGAAATTTCTCTCATAAAAGAAACAAACAAAAATATGTTCTTGTTAAAATTACAGACAATATTAGTTCAACAATAAGCTGTGTTCTCAGCTAGACATAGGACATAATGTATCTGTCAATAGTACTAAATTATACACTCAGTTTATCAAAACCAGCTTTCACCCATCTTTCATTCTCTAGACATGTTGAGACTAAGTTCAACAATTCTGAGTGGACACATCTGGAAGATACCAGCTGGGAAAACTAAACTAGATATTATGAAAAAGACAAGCGGAGCTGGGAAGAGAAGAGACTTCAAATTATTGCAACATTCTCTGTTTCCTTATATAGAGTTGCTAATTATTACAGTGTATAATAATTCACCCATAAAATACACTGAAAAGTTGGAATAAATATTGTATTTATTTTATTGTTTCCCAAGCTAATGCCTTCAGAAATGTAGGTCTATAAATGCAACAGCACCCACTGTAGTCATTTTACCCATTTTTATTCTTATTCTCTTTATGACAGGCAGCAGTGGCATATGGACTGCTAGATTTGCAGATGTATTGCTTGGCTTTCATTGAGAATTACACTCAGGTAAGAATAGGGTAGGTACTGAGATCTCCCATGCAGAAAGGATGTCAAATACAATACTTCCCATTCTAATCCAGACATTAGAGAATGAAGAGAGTTCATATTACATCAATGTAATTTTCTTTCCAATTGAATCATGGTTATATACATACAGGTATATGTATGAATGTTTGTATTTATTTATTTATATGGCTGCCCACCTCACAGCAGTGACTCTGGGTGGTGTATAAAGATTAAAAACCCAATAGTTACAAACAATAGCCCATGATGTCCAAGGTAAATAATACATTCCAACCATGTGTATAATAAACTTTCTTGCATGCAGAAACTCTTGGTAGTATTATACAGGGCTTCCAGATGTTTTCCTACACAGAGTAGGCATTGTTTGCACCTAGTTTTAGCAATGCTATTATGTCTTGAGCTTTCAGACTGTGTTGTAGGGTTATGTTGACAGTTATCAAGCATATCAACAATAGTCAAGATCTGATCATCTCTCTACCTCAAAAAAGGTTTTTGTTCCATGGTGCAGTAGGAAATGGTGGCAGTGAGCCTAATAATGATGTTGGTGAGTAATATAATGGGGAACTGAATTGCCGTAACTCAACACTCTCTCTGTTTTTTTCACAGGCTCTTTATCTTTATCTGTATCTCTTTATCCTCATATTCTGTATCTCAGAGGTGTACAGCATCTTTTTTCTCCGTAGGAAGTGGTCCAAACACGTGGGTTCTTGGAACTGTCAGAACAGGCAATGCAAACTATTTTGCAGAGCGACTGTTTGGCCATTGATGAGGTGAAGCTGATCCATGCTGTTCGAGAATGGGCACATGTTGGGTCTGTAAGTAGTCATAACATGGAGGAAGAAGAAAATGGGACAAGGATTTAAAGTTTTTTTTATGAGTTTCATAGAACTAGAGATAATCCTCCTAAAGTACTTTACAATAGTCAGTGATAATTAAGCAATATAATATTATTACAATAGTGCTGGACTTGTTAAAATAACAGCACAAATAAAACCATTAAATAAAAATAACACAAGATAACATAAGATAGAAGCAGAATAGAAAACTAATAGGTCTGCAATTCATGGAAAAGGTGAGTATTATAAAAGGGGTTTTAGAGGCCTTATAAAGTCCAATAAGAAAGAAACCAAAGATGTTTACTTGGGACAGTAATTCATAGTTGTTTTGTCCCTGATACTCAGGGCCTAATAACTGACTGACCTGGAGGAGAAGAACCCTTGAAGACCCTCAGTACCATCTTTTGAAACTGGACCTTCAATCCAAGTAAAACAATCGCCCTTGCAATAAGGGCCCCATATCCCAATCCAGTGGGATGATCCGATGAATACTATGACAGCTGTTACCATGAGTACTGAGTAACATCCAGGAAACTCAGCAAAGTGGGCTTTCTGTACATGGATGCTCCAGTATAGTTTCCATCTCAAATCCAGATGAAAAAGTGGATTGGAATGAGTCCAAATATTCTTTATCCTTATATAAAAAGAGCAGGCTACTGTTAAGCTATTTCAAAAAAATATTTTGTCATTGCCTCTTTTAAAGCCATTGGAACTGCACCATCTCTTAATGGGACATTTGTTGCAGTGTTGCTATAAAGAGAACCTAGACCTGGGTAATTTCAAGTGTCAGGACAGGCAATCTTGAAAGAGTACATTGCTCTCTTCCCTTTCAGAGGTTTGTCAGTATCCGCAGGCTAGGAAAGCTGAAGGAATTCTATGATAGCAGATCAGATGGTGCCTTGGCTACTTCTAATTCTATTGAAATAATGGCATAAAATAACTTTTGGCCAATGAGTGGTATCTTTCACTTATCTTCGGTACATTGTAGGAGGGGAGCCATACTAGCCTATGGTAGCAAAAAATCAGGAGGCTGGTAGCACCGTTTCTGACTAGCACGTTTTATTGAAAGTTATAAGCTTTTGTGAACTGCAGCTTCTTTTGATTTTTTTGCTATTTCGGGTGTATAAATGTTTTTCCAGGATCTCTATATTATTATGTAATTAGGGCAGGAAATGTAGGATCAACAAACAGAATAGCTGTTTAATAGTTGCTTTGAGCTCTGGTATTGAGCTGAGAAATGGCAGTTCTCAGGGCAGAGCTGTCAATTACATTGATAGCCAACAACAACCCTGCTTTAAAGACATTCAATCCTGTACTGATCCTGTACTCACTCCTTGCAGGCTGTGCTGGGTAGGGGCGTGCATGATATGGCACAAACTGTGGTGCCACAACTACGTCTAGCTCTGCTGTCACCAAGGGAGCTGACCTCTTTGGAAGACGAGAATAAGAAAGACCAGATGATTCCGGTGAGAGTGACTATCAGCCTCTGTGTAGTTTCTGCGTGCATTTGAAACTTGGCATGTTCCCATTCAGCTTTTATAGGTTTTGTAATTCCTTGGCTTGCAGGTTCTTACTTCATAGTCCTGCTCCCTGTTCTTCCATTTAAGGAGGTGAAATAAGACACACAGGATAGGGCCTCCAGTGGTGTCATCCACTTTATAGGAAATTCTACTTTAGGATATCCATCAAAGGATATTTCTTTTATCTTGAAATATCACACCCCACCAAAACAGACTGCCACAGCAGAATGGTAGCAATGAAAAGAGCTCTTGCCATCTGTTATTGGTGAGAAAAGTTCACAGAACTTACTGTACATTCAAAAGTTGTACAAAAATCTGACTAAGTTTGGGAAGGATGCATTTTTAAAAAGGTGTTATGCATTCATATAAACCATTTATTAGTAAAATTGCATAGACGAAAGTATACATTACTGTAACTTTGCTGAAAAAATGTGTCTTGGGATAACCACTAGTTCCATTAAAAAAGAAAGAGAGAGAGAGAAATGAAAAGACATACAAAATCCATGTTATAGCAACTGCAAATTTGGGGGGTTATTTTTAAAAAAATTCACACTGATAAATTAAATGGAACAAATCAGTATGATTTGAGTTTCCACTGATCTGTGCAACCTTGCTTAGGAAATCCAAGTACTGGATACAGCACAAATACAAACAAACTTCAAGCAAAAAATATTAAGGAAACCTTGGCCAAACAGTCCATTGGGATCTGACAGGCTCTGCTGCCATAGATTCCTTACTGACTCTTTGCGGGGGTTGGAATGGGAGGGATTGAATTAATCTCAGTGGTGATATGCCTGGCTGGCCACCCACTGAACAGGAACTATTCAAACTACAACATTTTGTTGCATATCCCAGTAGTAAATAAGTAATCCCAACATTGTAGCGAAGGAACATGATCAGCTTTGTGACTAAGAAAATTATGGTTAGTAATTGTTTGGTAGGTGATGGCCTCCCTGCACTTGAGGAGGGAGAAAGAGACTCATCCATTTTCCACGGCACTTCTGTAACATATTCTGAATCTGTCACCTATTAAGTTCCATTCCTATGCAGCAGTGGTTCAAATATTCTGTAACTGTTTTGCCCCTTCCTAGGTAGAGAGTTTTGCTGAGGCCTGGAAAACACATGCTCTGTGGAAGAGGCGTGGGATGCGATCCTTGTGCCAGCGTCGGCGTGGCACACTGCCTCGAGTCCATCATCGCCACCTTGACCCACAGCATAAATGATGTGATGTCCTTGGAATGAGGAGGAAGCAACACTTTTGTGCCTAGCAAACCCAACTTTGTTTTCAATTTGGGGATAGACCAATGCTGCTTAAATACCACAAAGGCATCCTGCCTGCAGCCCAAGCTATAACTCGTTTAGCTGACAGCACTAGACAAGAGTTTCCAATCTGTGAGAAGAAAAGGTTTGGTCTCCATGAGAGGAATACATATTCTTTCCCATCAGAGGTGGTATCTCAACTTTTGGACCTTGATTTCTTTTTGTTTTTATGGTTTTGTCCATCCCGTTCCTATCTCCAGTGGCAGATACCATCCCACAGTCAGGCCTATGTTATGCTTATGTGTGATTGAGATTAGATACTTGAGCAGAGGGTTTAGGACAATTATGTTAGAAATACAGCTAGATGCCACCCCCAACCCCATTCAGCCATCCTACATGAATATGCACAGGTGATTTTGAAGTATCAGTGCCTTTGATCTGCCTTGCTCAGGTACAATATTTCCTTGAATTCATATGGCTCTAGCTAAGGTAGAACACACTTATTTTGGGAGCCCTACACACAGATTATCAGAGATGTACATATTCTGGGCTACTTGATTCTAATTTTGTTGTACTGATGATACCACTAACTTGCCTTATCTCTTTAAATAGGCTACCAATGCCCAATAAGCCTTTTTTATATTCAAACAGGTGTTCACTTCTCAGCCCATATTCTATCATTCACCTACCCCGCTATGCTATGGGCCGCTGCTTCTGGTTTTCCTTTGGATGCTGTACTTGTATAATCTGGTCCAGAATTTGAGGGTGACCTCTTCCCCTTTGCGTTATTTTCCAGGCAGCTCCTTCCAGCCAAAAAGAACAATTTGGTTTTTAAAAAGGAGTTTTTAGTCATCAAAGAAGCTTTTCAGCTTTGGTGCCATCTCCGTGAATGTGCACTGAAGTCTGAACTGACAAAAACTTGCAAACTTCTCATAAACTCACACAGTGTCAGATCACATGGGCACAATTCTCTTCTTGTTTTAACTTTCATATCTCTTACACTTCTAGCTTATATAAGCTGTTTTTCATTTTGTTTAAAGATTTTCATTAAGCTTTCTGTGTACCCACACTGGCTTCTTCAGCTGTCTTCCTTAAAAAAAGACATTGGAATTGCATGTCTTTTGGTATTGCGCTTTTTTCGTAGGAACTTGTACCTATCTTGAGCAAATTCTTCCCACTGGTTTCTCTTGCCATGGAATCTTGCTCAGTTCCCATTAAAACTTTTTTTTTTTTTGCTGTCCAGATACAGTATGTATTCAGCTATATTTAAACTGTAGTTTTCTATAAAATCAAGAACTCTTGGCTAGGATGAAGTCAAAGATCCTCTTGTACCTTTTCACCCACTGAAAGAGAAAGTTGTCAGCAAGATAAATCAGGAGTTACTAGGAATGATCATATTTGGTGGAGTTTGTCTTCCAGTAAATGCTGGCTTAACTAAAATTTCAGAAGTTAGTAAATGCCAACAATAGTATTCCTTGCACTAATTCTTCCACTTATTTTAATCCATTCACTTCCATTTCTGGGTAACTTTAAGACAGTACTGCCTCTTCCTCCTTACTATTTTTTATGTTCCTTTTGAACAAATAGCTATATTCCAGTCACAGGGCTCATCCCACCAGTTCTTTGTTATATCTATTAAATATTTGCCTTCTGTCTGAAGAGCGGTGTACAATCCTTTTGCAAACAGATGCCAAAGGTTTTAGAGTGATTACATTGGGGAGGGTGGTTTTACAACAGCTTGAACTCAAGCTGAAAATGCCTGACTTCTTAATAGGACTACTGCCTTTGCCCTTTATAGAAATAATGTTTTTTATAATTTGAATTGGAAATACAACCTTGTAGCAATAAGAACAAAAATAATAAATTAACACAGTTAAAACTAATGTGATTGTTTTCCTTTCCTTTGATCCTTGCCAGTTTTGGAGATATAAAACACCAGAAAACAAATATGATAATAATATCATCCATTTCCCTCCATTGCTTGTCCAGAGGCAGATTCATGCAGACAGAATCCCAAAATTTTCTTTTCGCCTTCATGGAATCCTCCTCCTCCTCCTCCAGTGTTGTTGCTGCTATTCAACATTCATGAAATGGACTACATAAAAATGGACCCTTCAGATTGGAACATGTAATGGTTCAGATATGCAGCACTGATAGCAATCCACTGATTTATCATTGTGTGTGAGATTTCTTTTTAAAAACCAAGATTTTTTTTTAATGTGCCAGATTCATTTAAAAATAGCTTAGAAGCAACTTCCTTGCTGTATTATCTCTTATGAACAGCTTTGTAGAGGTGTGCATATTGGTGGGTCAAGGTAACCTAGGTCAAGTAAATGACGTGCCCCACCAGTGTGTAACAAGAATTCAAAGTGAATCAGATCTGATTGTACTATGTCCATTAACATAATTTGTCTGCTGTTCCAGTCAAGTAACATCAGGAACCCAGGCTGCTTTAGATCTAGATCCTGGCCCTGCCTAGATTTGTTTGTTTGAGTACCTGGTTGCTAGGTAGGTAAATGACTTGGAGAACACAGACGAAACCTCTCCTTCACTCTGTTGCAATATATTGAATCATCTGGTTCAGCTTCTCCTGTGTGTGAAAATGAGAGTGGGAGTAAGATTAGCCAACAGCATATGGAAATGCAGCTATGATCTAAAATAGCAAATATTTTTCAAACAAGTAAATGAAGATCCTCACTTGATGAGAATTGTCTGATTTCTAAAAATTGTAAATGTAACTCTTTGTGAGAGGGATTTAGAACAGACTGGAGGCATTAAGGAAGATGTGATACCCCACTTTATAATATTTCCAGGTTGAAGCTGCTATTGCCTTATGGGGTTGTACAATACATTTTACCTCTTATCATAATCCCAATTCCAACTGCCCTGCCTCCTTGGCTGTGGTTGCCATTTTGGAAATGGGTAGAAGATTTCTATTATGCTGTGATATTTTATGGCCTTGTGTGATGCAATAAGTTTTCCAAAGGAATCTCTAATTAATGTTCAAAACAAACCTTAACCACAAATGCATTATTTAAAAGCTAGGAATACGTAAGACCTTTCAAACATTGAAAGTATTTGAAGCTATAGTAAAACTGTAGAATAACTTCATATAGCTATTCAAAATAACTTCCTTCCTTCCTCCTAGGTCACGTCTGTTCTAGCAAAATATTCTTTAGCTACCCAACTGTGTTGTACAGCTGAACCTTTCCATTTATTTAAGTGGAAATCCCATTGAATTAATAAAATGCGTTCCTAAGAAAGTGCAGTATTGTTGTTTCTTATATCAAATACACAAGTCATAGTACATTTGCATTTGGTTTTCCTAAGTTTTCTATTTTTAATTAAAGCTATCTAGGAGGGCATATTGGATTAGGTGATTCCATTGATAGGAAAGTTTATCACTTCTCCCATTATTTCTTGAATCAAAATCAGCCTTCCCCATCCTTGTGCCCTCAGATTAGTTGGCTTACGACACATATCATTCTTAACCCGCATGGCCATTACCCATGTTGACCATATTGAGTGGGGATGATTGGAGATATAGTCTAAAACATCTGGAAAGTATCAGGTTGTAAAAAGTGGATCTAAGCTGGCACACACACACACCCTTGCTATTTGCTTTGTGTGGCTTTAAGGCAGTTTAGTTTTGCATGGTTGCCTATTATAGCATTCTTTCTTTTGTTTTTTTTCTCATGTACCCAGCTGTTATGTGAAAATGTCTTATGCATACACAATTCATACCCAGTGTATATGTGCATGTATGCAATTATATTTGAGAATATACATTCCTTAGGAAATTCTCCACCCTCTCATACTTGGCAACATCAAACAATACACATCCTGATTTGCAGCTACTCCCTATAGCAATTCAGGGAGCAATTTATTCTTGGTGCTGCATCTTTAAACTCCGCCACACTACCATCCACTCCATATACAAATCATTCCCGGTGAGCTTTAAACCCAACTTTTGATTCAACCACTTTGTCTTCACCATCCATAGATTCCAATCACGTTTAGTGCAGATTTACTCACAGGAAGCACCTTGAGCCTGGACAGATCAATTCCTGACTTCCGAGAACACCAGTTTATCAGTGCTCACCCTCTCTGCTTTAAACCTGACTTTATTTCTTCTCCCCCAGAGTTTCCACTGCTCCATGAAACAAGAAGCAAAGCAAAAAAGCCTTTGATTCATTATTGCCCTATTCTACCAAGCTCATGAAGTGCAGCAGTCCCCTAAATCCTAATAGCACAGCAAAGCTGCGTTTGAAGGCATTTCCCCAGACTGGACATGAATCAGGGAGATGGAGCAGTGGGATAGTGACACGCAGTTTTTCCAGTGAGAAAGAAAATGCCCACAAGCACAGAATGACCTCTTTGGAGTTTCATAGGAGATGTAGAGGAAGAAACTGAAATGTTAGTTTTCAAGGGATGAGGAGGAAGTGGAATGTTTCGGTTTTGTAATGCATTTTTGCTGGTTTGCGGCTGACATCATGCAGTAGGCAAGGGTGTCTACCAAGCAGACATGCAGTAAAATTGTCATGTGATGCAATTTTTTAATCTGAAAGCAGAAACTGGACTGGTCTTGTTTTGGCCTCACTGAAACTAAGAGATGCAAGGAACTGGATACACAGTGTTTAAATGTTATAAATGTTTGATTCTGGTGAATAAGGTGATGCTCACAAAGTCCTTGTATCATGCTGAAATAACGGCCACATCTCCTAGAGTTGTCCATTGTGGCCTCTATTCTGTCCACAAGGCTAATGCAGGCTTTGACATAAATGGAAACTGCCCAGTGTAAGGCAGCTGAATACCAGTCTAGTCCATATAACCAGTTTCCTGATATATGATGGAAACAGCATTGTCAGCTGTACCAGTTCCACGTATATTTGTAGCAACTACATAATGAAGTTAAAAGGGCTCTATATTTTTTTACTGGATAAAATTCTATGGGGCATGTACATTTTATTGTTACCCAGAACTATTAATAAGGCAGACCAGATGTGTAATTTTCAGTTACCTGCAGAGTAAGCAAATTTTACATTCTACATGGCAACTTTTTACTCATCCCCATATAAAACTGTATGTACAGTTCCCATTACTAGATTAGGGAATCTTAATTAACACCAGACTTTTAAAGGATATGATATCACAAATTTGATTAGAGAATCACTTTTCTTATTTCATCCTACTCCATGCATATTCCTTTTCTTTGAAGAAATCAGGAACTGAGAACAAAAGAGAGAAATCAGCTGACGAACAGTGGTTGGTTCAAGATTACCCACTGAGTTTCATGACAGTGGTCTCACTTGTAGATGGGATAGGCGGGGTGAGATCTAGGGGGACAGAAATAAGGCAGTGGAGGTCAATATGAAAGTTGTGAAAGGCAAGACATCTATCAAACCACAGATCTTTTTACTAGATATTAACTAGATCTCTCAATTTCTGACTGCCCTCTGGTGTCCATTTTGGGGCAACACCTAATTTAGGTCAATTTACATTTTTACATTTTAAACTGGAAGAAAAATCATTTCATTGTTTGCTTCTTCATCCCATCCATCCTACGAGTTTGGTGGATATCACAACTCTAACTGGAGTCTAATTTGATTGCTGATTATTTCCTCTTGTATTAAATCCAAACTTTCACCATATGTCATGACTTCAGCATCAAATTGTTTCCCCCCCTATTTTCTTTCCTCTGCCCAAGCCTCTTTTTTCTAACCCCTTTGCTGAAGATCTTGAAAGTGTTCATATTCTTATGGCTATTGGTTTGCGTTAAAATAGATGTCGCATTTAGCCAATAAAGCTTGCTTTATTTTTTGTTCGTTTGTTCTGCCCTCTAGTGATGGAAACAAATAATGATGTCTAACATCTGTTAGAATCATCCTGCTTGGATCAACAAGGAAAAACAAATTAGTTATTCCTTTCAAAGATATTTCCCAGTTATTCCATTCCCTGCCATTTCAGAGAAAGATGGTCAAAGGCTGAAGGCAGATGATCTCATGCTTCCATAGAGAGAGCTGTCCTTAAAGATCATAGAGTTCTATCCTTCTTAGCGGCACCATGTTCAAGTTTTTTTTTCTTTGTTTAATCTTCTTGTACCTTACAATTATGCATTCTTGTGCCACCTGCTTTCCCCTTTTCTACTGCCAGATCATGCTGGCAAACTTCCCTTGGGTTTCATATGCATAAAACAGAGCTCATCAATATCCTTCCTATAATACAACAACAAGGAAGCAAACAGGAACTCCAGAGTGACTATACAGTAATTGCTGGTGGGGCATGATCTTCCTCAGCGCTTTAATTATTTTCTGCCTGCAGACTGGTTGGATCAAGGTGAAAAGACGACTTTGGTAGAAAGAATAAGGAAAAATGCAGATCTGTCTCTCTTGAACACTTCTTCCTGATTGAGACTGTATATTGATACTAACAGCAACCAATTCAGAATCTCTGCAGGGGTTCCAAACTATCCTAAGATAAATTCCTGGCTATTTGATAAGTTGCCCTGTGGATGTCCTGGTTGATTCCAAACTATGAAACTGCCCTCCAACACTGATGCTATTCTTTGTAGGTGCCTTTTCCTAACAAATAAGCTCAGGAAGCCTTCTCATCACAGTTGGAAATGCAGTAGTTAGGTTAACGGATCAGAATGTAGATGGTGGTTAATTTGGGATGCTTATCAACATTCTTGTGTAACTTCTGGGAGAAAATCATCTAGGTACAAGAGGTTTAGTGTCATCACACCTAGCTGTCTTTCTCTATTTTTCAGATACAAATGTAAGTGGGGTTAGTGCCTTCTATAATGAAAAGTTAAACCAAAAGCCTTAGAAAAATTATTTGCACTGCAGCCATGGTGGGCTTTGTTATTATAATGCATGTGTATGTATGTAGGTATTTTATAGAACACCTAAAGTTTGTGGGTGTCTTACAGATCTCAAAATAGAGACTTAACAGTAAACACATGATACAGTAAAGGAAACAAGAGGAAAGGAGAAAAAACCAGGGTATTTAAGACACTAATTCTTCATAAATGTGCAAACTTTATTTTCATAGTTGCCCTCTCACTATATAATCTTTTTTTAAGCAGACTAAATATTGCAGCTGTACATGCAAGCATAGAAAACAAAGTTTCCTGCAGGTGGTGCTGCCTGACCATGTTTTAAATGCAACAATCATCAATCGGCCTCAGCAAAAGCCGCACAGAAGTGTTTCTGACCCCTCTGATCTGTACTGAGGGCTTTATAATCAAGACTGCATATTTTTCTTTCAGCCTCATTAGGGATATGACATTAGCTCTTTTCCGGAATATGTGACAGAAATGCATGGGGGATGATGGAGATGGCTGCTCCTGTTTTTCCTTTCCACCCTCCACCTCTCTGTGTTAACGGGGAACGAGCAGCTATCCCTACACAATTGGAAACCCTGACTGTGCAGGCCTTCTGGTCCTCTGGCGGTTTTGTGGTGGCCCAAACGTGTTTCTAACCTCATTACAGGCCTTACTGATCTACAGAGGAAGGGAGCAGATGTGGGGGGAGAACATTGTCCTCGATCTCTGGGCATGTGTTTTGCAAGTGCACCTGGCTGCTACAGATCAGGGGAAAGTGCCCTGGCTGGCTGTTTCTTTGCCACTGCTAAATATTTGTCCTACTCTTCCTCCACAATCTTAAGCCACCGTGCATGCTTCTTTCCCCTCACCTTAACTACCCAGCTGCTCTGTGAAGCAGGTTAGGCTGAGAGAAAGACTTGCTTGCCAAGAGACTTTGCTATCCAAGGCAAAGATGGCATCCTCTCCAGTCTGTACTACAAAGAAGCCAGATGAATTGAGCCTCTTTTCCTGTGACATTTTGGTGTTGAAACTCCACAGATCAAGTTGGGAAATACTAGGTGAACGTTCCTCACTTTGGAAGTGCTGCATAATTTCTTACATTTTTTCATGAACAGAAATATCTCTAAAACCATCCTCCTCAGTGTGGTAGTTTCCATTTAATCTGAGATTGCACATGTCAGAACTGCAACATCAGACCTCCAGTCAGCATGGCCCTGGGGTAGGCTGTTTTTCTAGGACTTATAGAAAGAGTCACTATAGTTAACCCAAGATTAGAGAGTGGGATTACATATTTTAAAAGGCAACAACAAAAGAAAGTACCTAGTGGGGTGAAAAGTGGGGAAATGATTAACGGGGGAATTTTCACTGGGAAATATAATCTGCCCAACACATTTTCAAAGTTATTTTGCCTTATTCAGGGATATTTTT